TCACTCATGGTAAGACTTCAGGGGCTTCCGGCAGCTCTTCCAGGGCAGCCAGCCTCTGTGGCTTAGCCTTCCAAGCTTCTTCATCTTGTAGTTTCCGTATCACGTGTGCTCATGTGCTGCTTAGGCAGTGACACATGTCACTCATCACTTCAGCCACGATTCGTTGGCCAGAGCTAGGTGTGGGGAGGTGGGAAGGTGGGGAGAGGGAGGGAGATTAGCCATGCTCCCCATGTGCTTGGAAGAGGAGCCCAGGGGATAGAGTGAGCCTGAGATGGATGGAGCAGCCCCACTGGGTGAGCACAAGCAACCAGGGCCCACAGCACGGCTTATCACAGGCAGCCTAAGTTTGTCACCCCGTCCTTTAAACCTTCCTTTGACATTTCCTGGGACAATGCCGTGAGGAAGTAATGCATCTGGTCAGCTTGGGAGCTTTCCAGGCTGTGCCCCAAGGACAAATGAGAGCCGCCCTTCTGAAGACATTAGGAATCTCCCTTGTCACGACTCTGGCCATGAGTTTGTTGGCACTGTCCCCAAACACTGTTCTGTGACAGATGGTGCTGGGCTTAAGGGAGAGTCATTTAGTATTCCTGAACGTTAAGGAGGTCACTGGCAAAAGCTGTATTTCCCAAGCTCAGGTCTCTGCACAGTTTAATTTTCTTTGAATTGGGGGAAGATGACTGACTTTTGTGCCTGAGTTCTGAATTCATCCATTTTCTATTCCTATCAGTAGAATTCAGGCAAAAAATGGTATTCTGAGGCTTCTTTAAAAACGCAAAACAGGGGGCTGGGGCTGTAGCTCAGTGGTAGAGCACTTGCCTCGCAGGTGTGAGATCTGGGTTCGATCCTCAGCACCATATAAAAATAAATAAATAAATATATTGTGTCTATCTACAACTAAAAAAATTTTAAAAAAGCAAAATAGAAAAATGATGTAGCTGCTATTAAAAAAACAATAGGGCAGCTCTTCAGAAACATTAAAAATAGAGTTACCACGTGAGCCAGCAGTTCCACCTCCCGGTGTATATCCAAAAGGACGGGAAATGGGCCGTGAGTGGGCACTTGCACACACGTGTCCATGGCAGCGTTGTTCACATGGTCACAAGGTAGCAGCCACCCTGTGTCCATCGGTAGATGAATGGATGAGCAAAACGTGGTGGGCAGCGGAGTGTTATTCGGCCTCAGGAGGAACTGCCCGCACCCCTTCACTGAACCTGGACGGTGTCACGCAGAGGGACGGACAGATACAATGTGGCTCCGGGTCTGCCAGGTGCTGGCGAGGCCAGGTTCACAGACAGGAGAAGGGTGGCAGTGGGGAGAGTCAGGGAGAGTCGCTGTTTGATGGGTACGAAGGTTCAGTTTTGCAAGATGAAGAGTTCTGGAGGTGGCTGGTGGTGACGGTGGCACAACACGCTGAATGGACCTAATGTCACTGAAGGTGACTTAAAAATGGTTGCCAGCATAAGACTGTATATTTTGCCACAATATCAAAAATGCCCCAAACTCTAATCAAAACAGAAAACGTGAGAGTTTTGCCTGTAGACACACGGCCTCCCGGTCGGCGTGGCTCTTGGAACCAAGTTCTGGTTGGACCTTGCCGCTTCTCTGTGCCAATGACGTAACCTTGTTGTCACCATCCATCACACACAAAAGGAATTTGCTTTCTAAATTTGAACGCACCCTGGATTCTCCTTTGGGCAGGTGCAGGGCTGGCCAGTCGGGGCCTTTGCTCCTCGCTTTGAGGTTTGGAGCCGGCTTCTCCTCTCGGGAGTGGTGGCGTTCTTTCCTTGGCCTCGTCACTAATCACGTTCGCTCCCAGCTCTGGGTTGTTGATGGTGGCCGGTGTGTTCCAGCATCTGCTGGTGCTCTTCGTGCCTGTCTTGGGGATGACACAATAAGCCCAGTCCTTAGGGTGAGGTGTCTACCTGAGGGACACTGCCTCAGCCTTCCTTGCCAGCGGGGAGTCCCCTGCAGCCTCCAGGGACATGCCGGCCGTGGGGACTTTCCAGCATGTTGGCCTTTCCTTGAGGCCTCCGCCTAGTCTTCTCATGGGGTAGGAACGCAGATCCGCTTTCTTGCCAACACCGTTTCTAAATATAAACGTTAATCAAGACAGGCTGTTAGAACTTCCCTTGCAAAGGTTGTTCGTGACAGAGGAGCTTTTGGTCACTCTGTAAGTGATCCTGCGTCACTGCATCATATATCATATGGATGCTGCTGTGTGGTCACATTCAGAAAATAGCACGGTCTGCGGCGCCTGGGGGTTACGTAAGGCAGAGGATCATCAGTGTTGGTGCAGAGGAGCTGGGGCGCCTGGTGCTCCCCGTCCTGGGGCTGGTCCTTGGGCACTGCCTGCCTCCAGGTCTGCCACAGTGTCAGTCTCTTTGCTTCCTCAGGTCTGTGTTCTTTGCAAATGAAGACAAAAAACAAAAGCCAAGGTTATTGTCTCATGGCTCTGGACAAAAGAAACTGATGAAGAAATGGAGTTGTCTGTGAATATTGACTGGGTTTTCAGTCGACCCAGTCGTTGTAGATTGTCAGCATGCGTGAAACTAAGTTGTACATTTATACATTTACCTTCTGTGGTCCAGAAATTCTGAGGAGGCACATGAAAGTCTGGCTTCAAGTAGGTGTCATGGGGTCAGGAATAGGCTTCTGGGGACAAACCCCCTGAAGTTTTTGCAGAGCCTGCATTTTTCTAGGGAGAGGATTCCATAGCTCCTGTTAAGGTTTTCAAAGATATCCTTGTCCCTAAGCTTTTAAGGAGCCTTGTGAAATGCTCAGGATATCTCACTACGGTGCGACCGTGTGCCCCATGATTGGGGCCTTGGTCCCTGATTGAGGCTGTCACTGGGAGAGAGCAGTGCATACAGAGTATCCCAGGTGGCTCTTCAGAGCAGATGTAGAAACCGTGGCCATTCAGAGAAAGACATGAGCAGAAAGGAAAGAGGAAGCTCAGAACTGATGGGCTGTCGTGGGGCACGGTGACCTACGTCTGTAATCCCAGTGACTCAGGAGGCTGAGGCGGGAGCATTGCAAGTTCAAGGCCAGCTTCAGCCACTCAGCAAGACCCTGTCTAAAAATAAAAACTAAAAAGGGCTGGGGATGTGGCTTAGTGGTAAGGTGCCCCTGGGTTCAATCCCCAGTACTGAGAACAGACAAAACCCCGAGAGATGATGGGTAGACTCCATTTTATTTTAGAATTAATGCACCCTACACAGTGCTGCTGGGTTCCCTGGCACCGCGGGGGGGGGGGGGGGGAGCCAAGAACGTAGATTCTGGAGCCAGACTTGCCAGGTTCAGATTCCAGGTCTGCCGCTTGGTGGTGCATGGTAGGTACCTTTTCAATAGCAGCCATTTGCCGGGCACAGGGGAACATACCTGTGGTCCCAGCTACTGAGGCAGGAGGATCAAATGAGCTGAGGAGTTCGGGCCAGCCCAGGCAACATACTGAGACCCCATCTCAAAAATGACATCAGCTGTTCTGCTGGAGCTGGGTGTTTGTCCTTAGGAACGCAGGGAGTAGGGAGGTACTGCTCTATGTTTATGTGTGTGTGAGAGCTGTTTGGCCCCTGCCGCCAAAAAGGCTCATTTAACATTTAACATTTGTTTACTTAAGAGCCATTTCAAGCAGATTTTGATGCATAAACTTCAAGCAGATTTTGATGCATAAACATCATAAAAGGTGAAAGAATACTGTCACATATCCTTTAGCAAAATGGGACTTTGTTTTTGTTACAAAATACACACATGAAATTCGTCCTCTTCATTGAGTATTGAGTACCTGTTCAATGATTTCCTGGATAAGAATATCACATTTCCTTTTTTTTTTTTTTTGCTAATATATCGTTCAGTCTTTGATCCTAACTTCACAGAGGATGTGCTCCTGGGAACCTCATGGTCTGAGATTTCACCTACGTGGTCAATTTTGTCATCACCCTTGAACTTGAGAACTGCTCTCTGCCTCCCTGAAGTCACATGTGACTTTTATCATAACTATGAAATTGCTCCTGGCTCAGCCCACTTGCTGCTGCTTTTAAATTTCATTTCATTTCGTTTTTTGCTGTTTTTGTTGGGGACAATTACAAATCCTCCATGGAACCTATGAACATGACTGCAAAGACTTCTTTCATACCCTCTTGAAAACTAAGCCGTGAGCGCCGAAGGATGATGTCATGGTGCTGGCTTACCTCACTGTTGCACGTCTTAAGGGTCACCTGTCATTTTCCCATTTCTTTTTTGTGTGAGTGGTGATGCTAGGATCGAACCCAGGCCCAAGCATGTCCGCTCAAACACTGAGCTACACCCCATGCTGGTGTGTCAGATTTTTAAAAGGGTCCAAAGAACTCAGGGAAATAACAAGGTAGAATGAATTCTTGGAAGATCTCCAAGAAGAAATCAAAGTCACAATCTAGCAATTCCCACAAATAGGTAGAACAGCTACAGAAAGAAACTAATTAGATGGGTGGGCCCTGCTGTTAGCCGGGGCAGTCATGCTTCCAGTAAACCAGGGGAAGGAGGTGATCTGAAAGGCAGGCACAGGTGGACACAGTGCTCATTGCTAGGTTATGATTACTAAATGGGAAAGAAGATAAGTGTGTGACACAGTCATAGGGTAGTTACGGCCCAGCAGTGTGCCAAGGTCTCATAGTAGTTCAGAGTTTATGAGAATAGGGTCATGGTGAATATTAAGTTTAGAGAGTATAATACAAACCAGTGTATAGTGTGAGATCAGCTGTGTGAAAATATATCAAAATATCGGTAGCAACCCATCGTGGTGAGATATGTAATTTTTAAATGTCATTATCTCTACTTTTATCTTCTGCGGTCTATAACTAGCCTGTGAGTTTTTAGACACAGCAAATGTTTTTTGTGATGTTGAAGTCAGTGTTTTTTTTTTTTTTTTTTTAAATGCTTTCATTGTGATGTAATGGTGACCTTGTGTCAATTCACCCGTTTTGCTGGGTTTTGATACATTCCTAACAAGTGTTCTTTCCTCATAGAATTGGTTCCTTCGATTATGAGCAACTTGCTGAATCCAGATGCCATTTTCTCCAACAATGAAATGAGCCTGTCGGACATCGAGATCTACGGCTTCGATTACGATTACACCCTGGTGTTCTACTCCAAGCACCTCCACACGCTGATATTTAATGCCGCTCGGGACCTTCTCATCAACGAACACCGGGTGAGGTCACAGGGACTTTTCAGTCTCCTTTCTCTTTTTTCCCTTAGATACTTGAAGAGCAAACAGCTTTGAGTGGATATGCCCCAGGTCTAGTGCTTAGAAGTAGTTTAGTAAATTTTTCTGAATAAATGTGTAGCTGTCCTTCCATCCCAGATTTCCAAGTGACCTTATGTAGATAGTTGTATTTAAAAAAAAAAAAAAAAGTTCTGATGTCTCTTTGGAAAGGAGCGAGCGTCAGTCCGGACATGGCTGTGGCTGTTTGCACCTTGCTGTTGCAAGGTAGCAGCATGGCTTTTGCCAGTGCTTGGGAGGAGGGAGGCAGCCTGTTAAGTTCTGGCTGACTCCTCAACAGTGGGCGAGGTTCACCTCCTGCTGGTTTGAATTGCTTTCTTAGGTGAAGAATGCCCTCTGATGCACGGTGTTTTGAGAGCTTTTAATGAGAAGAAAACACTGGGCACCTAACGGTTCTTCTTCCTAGTCTGGAGTGGGGATGCTTCCACAGTGGGGAAGAGAAGCCTTGCAGAGCTGGTCAAGGCCAGTTCACTTTGAGAAGCCCCCATGCCCTCCTGAGAAGTGTGGCCAGAATCTTCTTGGACTGGAGTGTGTAGCTCCGGGGTTTCTTTCTAATTCTGGCAAGTTCTCCCACAGGTTGAGCAAGTCTGCCTTCGTCAGCCTCTCACCATCCATCTCTCCGTTCTCCTCCCTCCTTCCCTCCCTCCTTCCCTCCCTCTCTCCCTCCCTTCTTTCCAACATTTCATAAATCTTTGTTCTGCCTCCTCTGAGCCCTGCCTTGCCTTAGATGCCCAGAGGGTAATGATGAGTAGGACCCAGCTGGCCCGTGGGGAGTCCATCACACACACATGAACCTGGTGGAGGCCTGTACACCTACAGGGAGCCGAGGCCGTGGGGAGCGGGGATGCTTCCTCTGCCTCAGGGAGTGGAGAAATCAGAGGCTGGTGCTGTGGCCCTGTTTGCAGGCAGAGGTGGGCTGGGGTGGGAGGAGTGGGTGGGCCTGGGTAGCCTATGAACCCCGGAACACGAGAATGGATGTTTACATGGACCAAGCACAGGGGACGTGCAGTGGCCTGGGTGTGACGAAGACCAGCCATTTACCTGCCAAGACTTCTCTCTCCCCAGGTGACCGTGGTGTTCTTTCAGCGGTTCTCATTGGCCCTCTTCCCTTTTCGCTGTCCTGGTGCCCACTTTGTGTGTGCTCTGGTGTGTCCCGCTCACAGGCGGAGCCCTGGTCTGCAGGTGTGGCAGGGGAGCGGTGTGAAGTGTGGAACCAGGAGACCGCCACCTCCCTGCTCCCGATGCCTGGCTCCTGCTAGTGCAGCCCAGTTCCCGTTAGTTTTGGATCCTGACCATTCGGCCTGTATATTTGGGTATCAGTGGATTTAAGCCTAATCCAAAGTGCAGAAATGGCCTTTGGCAAAAGTAACCTTTCCTTTTCACATTGAGCCAGCTGCAGCTTTCTTTAGTTCTGGCCACTTTGACAACTGGGTTTCTCCATTTGTTCAAGAGCTTCTCGTCCGTCTGAACTGTGGTCCTCTCCCAGGAGCGTGAGGACAGAAGCAGAATAACTAGGTGGTTTGGCCCAGGTTTTTGATTGTGCCTTCCACCATCTGTCCCCGCCCCTGGGGGGGTGGAGCTGAAGGGCACTGCATGGGTGCATTTGGTTGGCTTTGATGCCGTTTGTGAAGTGCAGGGCGTTACCCTGACAGTTCTGTTCATTGATTGTCTGCTGAGGGCTGGAAGTGTCCAGGTTCCTGAGAGTGACCGCTGGCTGCATATCCTGCCGTCATCACTCACTTCCTGCATAATCCTGATCCACTCACCCAATTTCTTTGGACTTAGTTTCCTCCTCTGTAGAATTCCCCACAGTGCAACTGTGAAAATTAAATGAGTTAATGTATGTAGAGCACCTGGCACAGAAAAGTCCAGGAAGTGCCCGCTGTTACTGATAATATTATTTTGACGCTGCCTGGCACAAACAGGTTGTCTCTGTATACGTTAGAGAAAATTCTGACTCAGATTTGAGCTACTGTCTCAAAACCACAGGTCAGTGAGAGTCAGAACCAGAATTCAAACTCGGGTCCGTCGGTTTCTGGGTGACTTATGTGCTCTCTACTGTGTGCTGCCCCTTAAAGGGTTAATGACACCTGTGTACCCTGTGGGTTTTTGTTCAGATGAAACTAAAATATTCATGATAATAAAAAATTTATGAACATAAAACATTTATGCAGTTTGGGGGGAAGAGAGATGAAATAGATGGATAATATAAAAGGTGGAGTTGTGATTGAAAAGCCTCTAGATTGAAGATCATTGAAATTTCATTCTCATTATGTCTGTTGCTTTGACTAAAAGAATGATATAGTACTAATTATATCAGGCATATTAATAGAGCCAATTATGCTTATGCAGATTTGGTCTTGCTCTGATTAAGCAAAATAATTCTTCTAAGACACAGTGAGCTGGTGCCATTCTGCTGCCAGCGCTGAGGCACGGCGTGTGCTTGCCGAGGTGGAGACATCTGCTTTTGAGACACAAGGTGACAGAACAGTAGATTTGCAATTTAGCATCTTTCCAAAAAGCAAATGTAAAAAAGTTCCAGCTTCTTTGTAATTATCCTGTTTTCTTCTTTGGGGGGGAACAACAACAGATTTTTATAAAAAATGGAAATCAAAAAATTGGGTCATTGCTGTGCCTGCATTTTCATTTCCACCAAGGAACTGGGGGTGCGAGAAGGGCTCTTGATTTTGTCTCTCCAGTGCACACCTCGTGAGCATCGTCTTCTCATTAGTGGGCACCTGTGGTCACCTGCTTGTTCAGATGCAGAGCCTGATGTCCCCTCTGGCTCCTTGTGCTCTGTGTTCCATGTCAGATCTCTCCTTAAAATGAGTCTCTCTCTTTAAAATAAACTTTTAGCTTCAGGACAGTCTTTGGTTTATGGAAAAGTTGCAAAGATAAGACCGACTTCCTGTGTACGTACCCCGTGTGTGCCCAGGTTCCCTGATGGCAACGTTTTATGTCACCATGGTACGTCGTCCCAGCTGGAGAGTCCATGTTGATGAGTCCAGCTGAAGTCCCTGCCTTATTCACACTTCCTTAGTCTTTACGCAGCGTCCTTTTCCTGCCCCGGACCCCGGGAGGACCTGTGTTGCAGTTGGCCGTCTCCTTAGGCCCCTCTGGGCTCTGCAGTTCCTCTGACCCCCCTTGAGTGTGAAGTCAGTGTTCTGGGGTGGCTTCTCAGGTTTGTCCCAGGTTTTCCTCATGATTAAACTGGGCTTTGGTTGGGGAGGAAGACCGCGGGGCGGGGTGGGGTCCCCGCTGAGGAGCTTCTGCCATGTTATAGTTGCTCCCACTTTGTCCCTTTCCACACTGTGCTGTTGGGAGGAAGTCACTGCACAGCTGCGGCTCCTTTTACTCCTTTGTAAGGTCCTCCTCGTGTGTGTCCTCACGCCGCTCCTCCCCTCCTGCGTGGCTGCCGCCCTGGCGCAGTGGCCTCCTGCCTGGCTTCTCTGCTTCTCTGTCACCTGTGTCCCACTGTCAGAGTGAGCCTTCAGACCTGGTCACGCCACCCCTGCATTCGGTCACTTCCAGCTTTCCCCAGCCTTCCCATCACCCTGGGCATGAAGTAGGCGCCTTCCAGAGCCTGCCTCTCGCTCTGCTCCGCCACACCAGCCTTGTGCTGCCACCTTTGGGCCTTGTACTTGCTCTTTCCTCTGCCCTGGAATGCCCATCCTGCTCCCTGACAGCCCAAGGCTGGCTCCCCATTCCCAGTGGGTCTGTAACCCTCATACTGCATGTTCTTTACAGTAGGAATCACTGTGAGGCATTGTGTGTGTGTGTGTGTGTTTGTGTGTGCGCGTGTGCTATGACCTGCCTCACCACAGCAGGGTGGACTTTCTTAGGGACAGAGACTGTCATTTTGTTGGCTGTGGCGTTCCCAGGCTCTGGCACAGTTCTGGCTTCCTGGGCTTGATGTTACTGTTTGCCATTGTTCCCAGGAAAGCTCTGTGTGTGTGTGTGTGTGTGTAAGCGTGTGTGCGCGTGCACCCATACACATGTGCACTCATATTGGAAAGGGGCTGATTGTGAGAGTGTTTTTGAATTGACCCGTTGTATGAGGAGATCACAACACAGGAGCAGAAGCAGAGCCTAGAAATCACCCTCGTCCAGCCATTTCGTTTTACAGACGTGGGGAGGAGAGGACTTGTCTTAAGGGCTGCTGGAGGGCAGCGGAGGCAGGAGAGTGGTCTGTCCCCGCCTGCCGGTCGCAGCCCGCGGAGGTAGCTCCGTTTTCCTGAGCACTTGCTCTGTGCCAGGCTCTACGCTGACTCCCCACAGGTGTTTCTGGACGTGAACTTCTGCACTTCCACAGCTCTTGCTGTCTTGACTCTGTAGGTGAGAAGACCAGGAGAGGACCCTGCCCAAGGTCACCTGCTAGCACATGGTGGCCCAGGATTTGGAGCCTCCTCTCAGCCCGTGTTCCCCTTGAAGACCTTGTCCTCTCGGGGCTGCGTCTCTCAGTTCTCGAGGTCGCTGACAGTTATTGTCTTTGGACTATTTGAAAGCTGTCTATTAGGAGGGGCTCCCCAAGAATCACCCAGTGAGCGGAGAGGCTGGGGCAACAGGAGCCTGTGAGGGGCCGCTCCCAGCCAGGGCGCCCAGAGAAGCCTTGTTCAAAGACAGTGCCACCAGACACGTCAGCAGGGGCGGTGTCCTGGCTCAGCTCAGATCCTTCTCTTTGCGGCCGGGAGTCCTTCCAGCAGCTTGGTGAGCCCTCGGAGCTGGCCGGCTCTGCTGTCACCAGGAAGTGACGAGTGTCCAGTGGAGAAGCCTGGACGGGGTTCAGAATTGATTAGGTGGTGGTGACGGGTGGACGTCGGTGTGACTTGGCCCCAGGTGGCCCCAGGCAAGTTCTTTGACTCTGATCCTCGGATTCTTCACCAGGAGATCAGGCAGGGGCGTCTGTCTCCTTCCTGCTGGTGTGGCAAGGCGTGGAGTCAGGATGTCTGGTCTGTGTGTGGCACAGCAGATGCTCAGCCTGGGTGTCTTTCCGTGACATTTTAAATGCATCTTTCCTGTCTGACCTTTCTCCTTCATCACTCCCCAGTTTGGAAGGAGGTTTCAGAGGTGCTGAGGTCCTTTGGCTTCCCTTTGATAAGCAGAACTGTGTCACCAGGGCTAGGTTCAGCGTGGGCCATGTCAGGTGTGTCCATAAAGATGCAGATCCGGACATGGTGTTCAGAATCCTTGGAAATGCCCACCCCTGGAAATATCAGTTTGGTAATTTCTTGGCACAAGTGGTAGGCGTTAGATAAATGAGCCCAAATGTGACATTTGAGTCAGTGCTTCTTGGAGCTTGACTTAAAAATATGTCTCGTGTGTTCAGCCTGGTGGTACCAGGAAATGTTCTCATACACATGTGACCCTGGCCGTGAACAGGTGGCAGTGTGGCCGCAGAAAGGTTTCCTGGGAGTTCTGATGTTGTCTGGGTTTTCACTCCTGCAGTTTACATCCTGATGGGAGAGTGGCGACTTGTCTGTGCTTGAGGGCCCAGGGGCTATGGGAGTGTGGGGCGGAGGCTGAACCTGACTCCCTGCCCTGTTGCCCCAGCTGGGTGACCTGGGCTGGGTTTCATGGTGCCTCTGATGTCCCCTCTGTAAGACGGTGTGGCAGGATCCGCTGTGGCAGCAGCCGCAGACACGGGGCCTGGGGTCTGCTGTTCTAGATCTGAGATCTGCAAACAGACTAAAGGACTGAGGTGTCCAGTATGGCAGAGTGGCCGCCAGCATCTTTCCATGGAACAAGGAGTCACTTCATAACTAGGAAGCACCTGGGGAGTGGGCTGCTTTCAGGGGTCCTGTGTGTTCTGAGACAGGGGTGAGCAGGAGCCGCGTGCTGAGCAAGGGGCCCCCTGGTGCAGGTGCAGGGAGGGGCCGCACCGCCAGCTCTGGGTTCTCAGCAGGGAGGTTGGCCGCGCCTGACCGTCCAGAGGAGAGCGATGGAAGCTGAGTGGAAGGTCCCCTCGGAAAGGTCTCATCTGTGTCTCTGCCTGCAACTGGGTGGTGGGTCCATGAGGTTTCCTGGTGTCAGGAGCTGAACGGAGGCAGACGGTGTGTTTGAGGGGTCATTCCAGTCCCCCCACCTCGGCAGCCATACACTCAAGGGGAGGAGGTGGTGGGGCAGGGAGAGGCAGATGAGTTTCAGGGTCCTTAGAGATCTGGGAGCCTGGTGGCAGAGAACAGGGAAAGTGGGGACAGAGTTCACGTGAGAGAAGATGAAGGAGGGGGGTGAAGCTTGACCCTGCTTGGACAGGTAAATAGGGTGCTGGGCAGGACCCAGGGCTCTGCGTGTGGCAGGAGGCACAGAGGAGCAAGCTGTGATTCGTCCCTCTGACCCGCCTTCCTGCCAGAGTGCTTCCCCCCCCCCCCCCCGCCCCCATCTTTGTACAAGTCCTGATCTGGACGCGACCCTGAAGGCAGAACCTTGTTAGCTGAAACATGTTCCTTTCTTCCTCACAGTATCCCGTGGAAATCAGGAAATACGAGTACGACCCCAACTTCGCCATCCGCGGACTGCATTACGACGTGCAGCGGGTAGGTGGCATTCCCCGCTTTCCTGCAGTGTCGCGGTCTTTGCAAAGAAAATGGTCCTTAGTGAGGTGGTGCTCTTGGGGCCGTTCTTTGCTGAGGGGTAAATCAGCTTTAAATCATGTTCATTGAGGCTGCGGAACAAGGCGATGCAGACATACTTGGGTAAGATCTTTCTGAAGTGACTCTCTTGGAGAAGCTTGCCCGCCATTGCGGTGGGAGCGCAGCTGGGTTCCAGGAGTCATTTTTTTGGTGTTTGGAGGAGGAGCCACTTGCTGTACTTATTTTTCTTTTCTCTTTTGCTGATAAACCATTTCCTTAGAAAGAACAAGCCAGCCTTTCAGAATCTGCCTCCTTGCAGGGCGTCCTGATGTGGGGAGGAGTCATGAGGACACCTGGGCTGCTCATTGCATGTGCAAATTGGTGCATGTTATTTACACGTGTGTGTGTTTATATTTTTAAAGGCAGTGTTGATGAAGATTGATGCTTTTCATTACATCCAGCTGGGGACTGTCTACAGGTAAGAGCACGAGGAGAAAAATGTCATTCACCCACAGCAGCCAAGTGACTTGGGTTTCAGGGCCCCCTGACTGTGCGGTGACAGGAGGGCTGTGGGGTGTGTATTATGATCCGTTCATTCACTCTTGTTCCAGAAAATTCATCGAGACTGCCATGCTAGATGCTGGGGGTTTGGCCCACTAGGCTGCTCTCCAGGAGCTGGGGTGTGGGTGGAACCTCAGGAGTGAACCACTGTACCCCAGAGTGCAGGGCTCATGGCGGAAATGCACTCGGGCCTCCAGGGGGAGTCCTTTGGGGAATGTGCGGGAGGAGCGGCTTTGGAGGCAGAGGCTGGGAGCTGAGGGAGGGTCCTGGCGAGGGCTTTGGAGGGAGTGGGCTGTTGGGGAGAGGGGATAGTATTCCTGGGACCATGGTTTGATATTAAGATGCCCCTCCCAGAGGTAGTCACTGATTCGGAAAGTGGAACATGCATGTAGGTTGTAGCATTAGAGCTTCGTAGGGGGCAGTAGCAGCCCTGTGTCCTCCCCTCCCCACCAGGCACTGGTGTTTTCCTTCACTATCTGTAGGTAACTTAAGGTTGTGGACATTGTCCATGGGGAGTTAGAGGAGGACCTTGCCTCCTGGTTCCCTGCCCCCTCCTTTTCCAGTCTCATCCTTTGACCCTCACTAAGGGCTCCATTGCTACACCAGTCCTTGTTTACATTGTGACTCTGCAGGTCTTGTGTGTTCACTCTTGGGCCAAGTCGTGTCCTCTGATCATTTTCTTCTTGTACCATGTATGGTTTTTCTCATGAGACTCAGGAACCTCGTTTTTGTTTGGTTTTATGCATAGGTGTTCCCACTTTTTCAAGCGTCCTCTCCCATGTCAAGCATGGGTTGAACATGATCTGTTGCTTGCTTAGTGTTTCCTTCCTTTCCCTCCTTTCTCCCTCTTGCTCTGATCCCATTTGGTTCCTTTCCTAGGACTTCCCTTTGCCCCCTTTTTAGTTTCCATCTGTTCCTCTTTCTGCCTTGACTCCCTCATTTTGCTGGAGTACATCCTGCACTAGCTTCCTGGCACCTTCTAGTGACAGCCTTTCTGGAGCTCTGTGGGGGTGAATCATTTTGTCGGTGTCCCCTTGAGTGCCTCTGCCCCCCTGGTTGGTAGTTCAGGTACCTCCTTCACATCCACCGTTGGTTTTCCGGTGTTGAAATGTCGGATCTGTTGACATCTTTGCTCTCATTTTCTTGGGCCTTTTTTTTTTTTTTTTGTCATTTTAATAGTGTTTCAGGAGGAAGACGGGGTGGTGGTTGGTGGTAACAACTATAATGTTGCTGACATTAAATAATGGCTAACAAATATTGAGTCTTGCTGTGAATAGGCACTGTTTTAAAATAAGGCGTGTGTGTGTGTGTGTGTGTGTGTGTGTGTGTGTGGTGCCTGGGATTGAACCACAGCTTTATACATGCAAGGGAAGCACCCTAACCCTGAGCTACATCCCCAGCCCAAAACAAGGGCTTCATTTGAGTAAACCCATTTGATCTTCAGAATGACTTCATGTGGTAGGCACTATCCTTAGTCTGAGAGATGTTAAGAACCTTTCCCAAGGTTACAGCAAAAAAATGTCTTGACTAGAATTCAGACCTAAACCTTGTGACTGCCGAGTCTGTCCTTGGCTACCATGCTGTGTGGCCTTGTGTGAAGGCCCCTCAGAGCACCTCTCTTTACTTTCGATTGTGAATCTCCTTTAAGCTGTACTATTAAAAATAATCTTTTCATTTATTTTATAAATAATATTGTTATACTTGTATATTTTTGTGTATTGTTTTATTAGAAGTAAAATTGCTGGGCAAATGTAGTCATTCTAAGGCTTTTGAAATGGCTTAATTGACCTCAGAAAGATGGTACCACACTTAGTAAACTTTTAAGTTTAAAGTTGTTCTTTCACGTAAAGTATTCCCATTTTAACTTCTCTTTCTTGAAACCACTTAATGTTTACACATTAATTCCTAGACTCCTTTGCTAAAAGCTCCTGATGTTTGTCTCAGATTACACAGCAGCGGTGTGGGAGGGAGGGGGGGAGGAAGGTGAGGCCAGGTCCGTGGTTGTGAAAATCCCCACCAGATCTTTTGACTTGGAGCCTCCATCTCTGTTTCTGTGGCCGCCTCCTGGTTTAGACACGCACCCTTCTCTCCTGGGCGATTGTACTTTTCTGCAGGGCAGTGCTTTCCTGTGCCAGCTGTTTTTTTATATAGTTGCTCATTTAGCCTTTTTGGTAATACCACTGTCCAGGAGGCAGCCACGTCATTCCCACTTACAGAATGAAGAACATGAGCCCCAAAGAGAGGAAATGACTTCTCCAGTAATTCCCCTGAGATAGCTAAGCTCATCCTTGGTCTTATGGGATTAAGAAATAAGGAATTAAAAATTAGACCAGTCTCCATGACTGTGAATCAACACACCAGGAGCTGGGATGTTGGCAGGTCACCTCAGCTTTCAAAGGTTTGGAGGTCACAGAGACACCAAGAGGCCAGAGCCAGGAAAAATAAGGTCACTAAAACCAAACCCATGGGCTGGGGTTGTGGCTCAAGCGGTAGCGCGCTCGCCTGGCATGCGTGCGGCCCAGGTTCAGTCCTCAGCACCACATACAAACAGAGATGTTGTGTCCGCCGAAAACTAAAAAAAAAAATAAAAATATTTAAAAAAATTCTCTCTTTCTCTTTCTCTCTCTCTCTCTCTCTTTAAAAAAATAAAAACAAAACAAAACAAAAAAAAACCCATGCATGAGGCACTGGTTCAATCCTCAGCACCACGTACAAAAATAAATAAATGAAGTTATAAACAAAAGAACAAAAAAACCCCAAACTCAGCCGGGAGCAGTGGCACACACCTGTAATCCTAGTGGCTTGGGAGGCTGAGACAGGAGGATGGCAAGTTCAAAGCCAGCCTCAGCAAAAGCAAGGCGCTAAGCCACTCAGTGAGTCTCTGTCTCTAAATAGAATATAAAAAAGGACTGGGCTGGGGCTCAGTGGTCCAGTGCCCCTGAGTTCAATCCCTGGTATACCTCCTACTCCTCCCCCCGCCAAAAAACCCCCAAACCCAGTGAGGCAAGGCAGTGATCTTTCCTGCTCCAAAACCCAATCAGGAGGTTTCCCAGATGAAAAAGAGCAAACTCCATCCAGGTGGGAGAGGCAGATGTGTGTGTAGGACAGTCACATCATCACGCCATGCCCCACAGCAACCCCTGCCGTGTCAGCACGGTGAGGACCCGCAGCCCCGAGCAGAGTCCCGCCTCGCAGGGGAAGAGGAGCTCAGGCGCCCCTGCAGCTCTGCCTCTGGGTGCCACCTGCAGGAAGACCTGGCCCTGGTACCTGCAGAGTCCAGGAAGGCCGCGCGCCTTCCTCCTTAGAGTCAGAGTCCGTGTCCGTCCCCTGCCTGGCGCCTTCCTCGTGCGGCAGCCTAAGAGTAAAAGGCCTGTTCCTGTGCCGCGAGACACCCCAGGGGTTAGGGAGCAGGGATTTGCACCCGGGCAGATGTGTTCACATCTGTGCTTCCTCATCGCCTGGCATGGGGCTGGGGGAGGGGCTTTTCGTTTTGATTTCACTGGTTGGGCCACAGGGTTCCAGCAGGGCTAAGTGGTCCCCACGCGCGGTCTGCTCCAGCGGGCTGTCTGCAGGGGCTCAGCTGACTGCAGCCCGCGATTTCACCACTTCTGAGCAGACTGGTGGACGCTGCCTGTTGCCACACACCTGTGCGAGTGTCTTAGTAGCATCCAAAGGACCAGGCTGGGGCTGCATCTGGGGACAGGGCATTCGCTGTCACCCAGCGTAGTGGCTTTCCTTTCTAAGGTTGGAGCCACAGCAGCTGGACTCCTGCCTGCTGCTCCTTCAAGGTCACTGTCTAGAACGATCCAGTTTGGCACCGAGGTCTTACCTGATTTCTGGAGCAGAGTAGAAGTACATGGCTCCTTTTGCTTTCGAAGGCCGGCAGCTGCAGCAGGGTATCAGGATCAGAGGCAGAGTATAGATGAATCCACTCGAGTGTGTTTGAGTGCAGTGCAGGATGGAGATGAGGGGAGAGAGGGCCGTGGTATTTCCAGTGTGTTGCACGGCAGGCCAGAAGCTGTGTCGGATGTGCATTTCAGGGTTGGTCTGGTGGTGTCACACGCTGGACAGCCTGTGCGTGTTAGTGATAAAATTCTCAGGTGTGACTTGGCTCTTGTGGCGTAGTGTGTCTCGGCCTCTGCCTGTCCGGTTTCCTAAGGACCAGTGTTTATTTCTCAGGGGAAGGGGTAGAGGAACAGACGTTCCCCTGTGTCACTCTAGGGTGTCAAGCCCAGCTGGGCAGGTGGCACCTGCTCTAGTCACCGTGGCGGAGCTGGGGCCTCCAGAACTCATTTTCTTCCCTGGAGGTGAAGGGACTGGATTCATGTGCAGATGCCAGAGGCAGGGAGGGGCGGATCTTCCTCTTTCACAGCTAAGAAACTGGCCTTCCAAGGCACATGTCAGGGTGGTCCTTCCCTCTGCAGAGGTGTCACCAAGCTTCCTCCCTCCTGTGCCCTGTGTCTCTCATCCATCTCAGGGAAGCGCGTCAGAGGGCAGGAAGATGGCTGCGATGGAGGGGAATCCAGTTTTCCTCTGCCCTAAAGTGTTAAAGACATTAAGAGGGAAAAGCTCCACCCAGAGCAAGTCCTTCGGAAGCTTCCTGTCCCCAGGTTTAGGGAGCCGCAGAAACTTTGGCTGTAATCCTGACCCACCACTTTCTACTTTGGACAAAGTGACCTACTTTGCCTCAGTGGCCCCACCTGGAAGCTGGGATAACCACAGTGCCTCCCTCCTACGGGGGCTGAGGGACAGGTGACTGGCCAGGCGTCTTCCTGTGTGGCGCGTAGTGGGGCCAGATAGCGCTAGCTGCTGCTGCCCTTCTGTTACCTGTGGTGGCAGCAGTGGGGTCATCGCAGCAGCGCCTCTGAGGGCCTGTTGTTTGTGGCATTGACCGTGGAACGTGGCACCTCGTGGCTCCGACAGTGTCTCCGCCCTGGGTGAAGTCTCAGCGGTGGGCGGAGGGTTGGGAGTCGCCGCTTTCCTGCCCGCTCTCTAAGGCCCCATCTGGCTTTTCCAGAGGCCTCAGCGTGGTCCCCGATGAGGAAGTCATTGAAATGTACGAGGGGTCCCACGTGCCCCTGGAGCAGATGAGCGACTTCTACGGAAAGGTAACAGGCACTGTCTTCGTGAAGCCTTGGTCTTTCCCGGGCACATGGCCTCCAAGGGCTCCCCGCTGCCCCTGTGGAGCTGGCAGGGGACCCTGAGGGGGCGTGCGGATCTGCTGAGCTGAGGGAGGCTGGGGAGGGCACCACCCCGGCTTCCCCCGTGGTTCTCCTTAACCGCGCTCTCCCCACCTGGGAGGCTCCACCCGCCCCACCTCCAGGCATGTCCCTGCTTTCTGAGTGAACCATGGGCTGTTGGCGCAGCAGCAGTGGCCACCCTGCATCTGTCACACTGCCAGCTGCCCACCACCTGTCCCCAGTGGGAAACCTCTGCCGCTCTGACTTCTGGGGTCCTCTTTCCTGAGTGGAGCAGGAAGTTGGACTCAGCGCACGGGAGGGTGGGGCGGGCAGGGTGGTGGGGCTGGGAGAGGCAGCCATGGACTGCCATGGACGTCCTCCTTGTGCCCAGCGTGAGACACCACTGTGAAGGATAAGGAGCAAGGCAGACACTCTGATTGCTGGGACCGCCTCCTTTTTTGTGACGAGGACTCTCAGGTGGACACCGAGGTTGTCACCGAGGAGCCTTGCCAAGGTGGGCCCCTCTTCTAACGCGTCCCCCTCTGCAGAGCTCCCACGGCAACACCATGAAGCAGTTCATGGACATCTTCTCCCTGCCAGAGATGACCCTGCTGTCCTGTGTGAACGAGCACTTTCTGAAGAACAACATCGACTACGAGCCCGTGCACCTGTACAAGGACGTCAAGGTGTGTGGAGAAGCCGCGCTTTCAGCCTGAGGAGGCGGCAGGCGGTGGCCCTCTTTCCAGGTCGGGGGTCGGGGGTGTGACTTGGTCTCTTTGCTGGGATTGCTTTTGTTTATAGTTTACAAGACATTGATAAAGATCTGCTGCATCAGGGGAAGTGGAGACCAGGTTTTTGTTAAAGCAAGACGGGCCTCACGTTGATGTCTGGGTTTCTGGTCCTTTCTGACCAAAAGGCCAGGGCACCCAGCCACAGGGGCAGCCTGGACCTGTCCCCTCTGGGCCTGGGGCCCAAAGACCTGCTATTCACATTCTCTACTGTGGGCCTGGGCTGCTGAAGTGATGGGGGCGTTTTAAAGTTTTATTCTTTTTATTGATTGATCGATCGATTGATTGATTGACTGTAGTTGTGGATGGACAGCATGCCTTTATTTTGCGTATTTTTATGTGGTGCTGAGGATCGAACCCAGTGCCTCATAAGTGCTAGGCAAGTGCTCTGCCACTGAGCTACAGCCCCAGCCCTAAAGTTTTATTCTTAAATTGATAGTTTAAAATTGTACATTTTTGTGGGGTGCACACTGTACCCCATAAAGATGCACAGTTCTGGGGGGTGTGAGAGATTGGATAAAAGGGTTTTTTTTTTCCCTCTTGCCCACTGAAGTTCCATATGGCTGTCTGAGGCCCTGCCAAAGCCCTGCAGGAATCCAGGAGAGGGGGACATAGGGACATAGATAGGAGTCTTTACATGCATCTGTACATGTGATTTATAGATTTATGTATTATAATTTATGTTGATAATTACATTTACACACATTCACTGAGCCATGTGAACTTTATCAATACTTAAAATCTTTATTTGATGTACATTTATAATGTAAACTTATGCATATGCATGTAGCAGATGTTTTACTAATTACTTAATTTTGAAGTGGGGTCTCACTGTGTTGTCCAGCTGATCTGAAACTCCTAGTGATCCTCCCTCCTCAGCCTTCGAAGTAGCTGGGATGTACGCCACCACACTGGGCCTAAAATATTTGTTTTTAAAAGACACATACTTACTCACGAAAATATTTTAATTCTGTGTTTATGACTAATTTAAAGTTTTGAGACTTTATTTTGAATTGCACAGACTGCCTCTTCCAGGCAAACCTTTTGAAAACTGCATTGGAAATCGCTTCTGTCATCTCAGAAGCTTCCTTTTCTTCCCAAGGAACCACCAGACATAAATGCACTAGGTTTGGATTTGGTTTAGGGCCTGGATTGCCGGTCTTATAAAGGCAGAAGTCAACACCAGTGCTGTTACACTTGGACTGTCACCCCGGCTGGCCCAGTCCCACTTTCACTGATTCAAAATGTGTCTTTGGACAGGATTCAATTCGGGATGTTCACATCAAAGGGATAATGTACAGAGCAATCGAAGCAGACATTGGTATGTACTTGGCAGGGCCCGTGTGTTGTGTTACTGGGTAGGCATTTTACTTTGCATGCCAGGGCCTGAGCAGGGGCTGCATGCACCTTTCTGAGTGCCAAATAAGGACTCTGACCCCCAGCTTGACCTCATTCTGACTCAAAAGTGGAGCAGCTGGCAGCTGCAGATGTAGGAGGCAGGGTCTTTGTGACTGATGCACTGGGCATTCGTACCCCACCCTGAACCAAGCTTCCTTAAGACTTTTCTTCCCCACCATGGCTGGGGCAGTCCTGGGCCCATGTGCCCCATTTAGTAAGTGTTTACAGACAGGCTGATTTCATGCTGACTCTGAGTGTGAATTTTTCTCTTGCTCTTAGAAAAGTACATTTGCTATGCTGAGCAGACCCGTGCAGTATTGGCCAAACTGGCTGATCATGGCAAGAAGATGTTTCTCATCACCAACAGTCCCAGTAGCTTCGTGTAAGTTTTTCTGTTTCCTCCCTTGCTTCTGGCTCACTTCGTATATATACCATTTCTGTTTTTTTTTCTCTTTTTTAAAAAAATATTTGTTTTTTAGTTATAGATGGATACAAAAACGTTTATTTTATTTTTATGTGGTGCCGAGGATCAAACCTGGTGCCTCATGTGTGCTAGGCAAGTGCTGTACCGCTGAGCCCCAGCCCTAGCCCGATGCCATTTATTTTAGTAGTTGGAAAGAAATAGTTGCAAAAGTATTTCATCCTTTGATGTTCAACTAACCTGGCCGACTTATTCTTCTAGGGACAAAGGGATGAGGTATATTGTTGGGAAAGACTGGAGGGATCTGTTCGATGTGGTCATAGTTCAGGCCGAGAAGCCAAACTTCTTCAATGATAAGCGGAGGTGAGTGATCGTTTTCCCTGGGGACTCAATTTTATTCCATTGCTATTGTAAATGGATGTGTAGTGACAAAATTCTGAGCATCTGAGACGATAGCTTGTAGCCCTTCCAGCAAGTGATCTAGGGAGGTGGGATTAGCACTCAGCAGGCAGCTTTGTGCTGAGATGGTTCCTGTTTGGCTTGTGCTACATCAGGGCTGTGAACCCAGTTTTAAGAAAATGATAACAGTGCTGAAAAATCAAACTTTATGTCACATAGTAAACTAGGTCTTTGGGTACAAATGCGTTGTGAAGCATAAGAAAACTATGGGGCAGGTATCTTTAAATAGAGCTCCCGTTGGTGCATTTAAAATTGTGGTTGGATCTTGCAAAACTTCTGCGACCCAGGCTTTATATCAAGTGGAGTAAATCTCTACCATGTCTTAGTGTGTCTTCCTGCCACAGCAGCCTTAGAGATGGGGGAGTGGGGATGTTTTGGGTTATGACAGTGACTGGGGAGTGCTGTTGCTATGTAGTGGGTGGAAGTCAGGGGTATTAAAATATCTTTTAACCAGGAACAGACTAGTTGCCCTGCTAAATGTCCATGTTGTTGGGAATTCCTACGTTAGGGTTCTAAAAATGACCCTGATGTGTTTGTGTGATGGCCTAATTTTGAAACACTTTACCTACCTTTGTGTAGTCCGTGGCTGGTGACCAGCAGCATCTGCCAGGTGTTAGAAGGTGTCCTCACATGAGGACTTGCAGTTAGTACTGGATTCGCTGCATTCTTCTCGTGATGCCAAGTTCCAGTTTTTTGAGTGTCACTGTGACTCCCAGAGGAAAAGGGAAAAAACCCAAAACCACATGTAGAGACTGAAAACCGTGGGGCAGCAGTTGAGAATGAAGGAAAAACTAGAGTGTGATCAGACGGACATCAACGCGGGCTTGCTGCTTGGCCACTGATAGAATGCTGTCACTGGGCCTGGGGCATAGCTGCAGCTCTGTGGTGGAGCGCTTGCCAGGCATGCAGGAGGCCCTGGGTTCACTCCCCAGCACCACAGACACAACAAGAACACTCCTGCGTTCCTCCCTAGATTCCTGCTGTGGTCAGGAGAAGGCGGCTCTCCCTTGGCCAGGAACCTCCTCTCCTCTGTGGTATTCATTCAGTGGAGGGCTGGGGTCCTGGGCTATACCTGGAGGTGAGGGGTGTCCGTAGAGTACTCTCCTCCCTTCGGTGCACCATTTATTTATTTTGCCTTTGTTCTGAATGCCTGGAATAAATGCTAAGTGACCCTCCATCTGTATCCATCCTTTCATAACATTGAGAAGTCAGAAACTGGTAACCTAGACTTCCAACAGTAGGGGATGGTAGTTTGAATAATTCAGAGCAACCATGTGAGGGGATGTTAGGCACTCGTTAAAATTGTTGTATTTAGAACTGGGCTTGGTAGTGTGCACCTGTAGTCCCAGCTGTTGGGGAGGCCAAAGCAGGAGAATTACAAGCACAAGGCCAGCCTTGGCAACATAGAGAGACCCCGTCCCCAAAACAAACACACACATAACTAGGGAAAAGAAAGAAGTGGGCATGTTGTATTACTGTAAAAAATGATGTATTTAAGAATATGTCATCACGTGAGAAATTGCTCACAAATTAAAGAAAAAGAGATGTAAATCAGTGTGCACAAAGTGACCTTGAGCTTCATTTTATGTTCATAAAAACAGGGAAAACAGTCAGGTATGGTGGTACATACCAGTAAGCCCAGCTACTCAGGAGGCTGAGGCAGGAGGACTGCAGGTTTGAAGCAACTTTGAGAGACCCTCTCTCAAAAGGGCTGGGGATGTAGCTCAGGGGAAGAGTGCTTGCCCACATATATAAGGCCCTGGGTTCGATCCCCAGTTTTAACAGAAAGAAAAAAAAAAAAAAAAGGAAACTGATTTTATGTAAAAACTGAAAGACATACTGACATATTGACATGTGAAGTGTTTCTACCTGGGTACTGGCCTTAGGGTCACTTCCCTTTTCTGCATTTTCTAGATTTTCTATAGTGAGTTTTTCTTTTAATTGGGAAAATAATCTCAATAAGTGTTACTTAAAAAAAAAAAAAAAAAGAAAGTTAGACAGGCACCCAAGTCCTGAGGGTGCCAGTCTCAGGGATGAGGCCTTATCTCTGTGGTCCATTTTTCATCATGAAATAGTACTTCTGGTCCTTCGACTTGTTTTCTATCCAGAGTGACTCAATTTAGTGGATGAATGTACTAAGGCAATATTTCCACAAACTTTTTGTGTGTGTGTGTGTGTGAAACAGGTTTTCTGCATGACCAAATAAATTTGGGAAATCTTTAGAAAGTATATTTAGAGCAGGACTTGTTTCAGAGCTCTCAGTAACTTTTTAAGAGGGACATAGGCAGTGTGTAGTGTTTCCTGGATTTATCTGACCCTGGTACCCTTTTTTTTTGTTTTTTCCTTTCTGAATCACCTTAGGTGGATGGTGGTTCACATGGCCTGGGGCACGTTGCACAGGCAGGGATTGTGGTGGAGTTTGGGGCTCAGGGATGTGTCAGGTGCATCGAGGGAGCTGCTTCCTGTCATCAGGAGGTGTCTGAAGTATCTCCGGGAGCAGGTGGCCTGAACTGTCATCACATGTAATGTTTCCCATTTCTGTTGTTAGACCTTTCCGAAAGGTGAATGAGAAAGGTGTCTTACTCTGGGATAAAATCCACAAGTTGCAGAAAGGCCAGATTTACAAGCAGGTATCTCTTGATCAGTTTGTCGTCTGTGTTGCTTTGCTTTGTGGCCAGCAGTCACGATAATCAATGGCTGACGTTTACTGAGGCTTGCCGGGTGCCTGGCACAGTTCGATCCCTTGAATTGACTGCTTATTAACTCGGTGGTAAAACTTAGGCTGAATGTATTTTCAAAATGCTAGTATCTAAATTAACTCAAAGTTGAATTGTTTTTAAAAACAAACTTTAAAGCATTACACGGCACATAAAATTTAAGATGCCAGTGGTAAACCTTGGAGATTTCTTGTTAAGGAGCATTAATCATGGTGTATTACTAACCCAAATTGATAATTATTTCCTGATGAGATACGTTTTTCTGTACAGTCTCAATGTATTTATAAGGCTTTCAAGGGTTTGAATGAATGATTGACTGGCTGACCCAATATTATTATGTTATTGAAGTTATTTTTTTTCCTTACATACTGATACGTTCTTGGTGGGTATGCAACAACCTTCCAGATTTGACAATAAGTATATTTTCCAGGCCTTGAAAAAATTAGATTTAGTGTAGCCATTTAGCCATTTCTTTTTTGTTTTTTTTTTTAAAGAGAGAGAGAGAGAGGATTTTTAATATTTATTTTTTAGTTTTCGGCAGACACAACATCTTTGTATGTGGTGCTGAGGATCGAACCTGGGCCGCACACATGCCAGGCGAGCGCACTACTGCTTGAGCCACATCTCCAGTCCAAGTGTAGCCATCTCACGTCTAGGGAGTTAGCCTAAGAAAATTAAGACTTACACCATGAAGCCTTGCTATAAGAATGTTTATTATGAAGTAACTTACAAAATTGAGAATGGTGTAAGCGTTCAACATTAGGGCACTGGTAAAAGGAATCAAGGTGTTTCACAGCTATTGTAATCACATTGAGATTAATATTTATTGATTTGGGGCTGGAGTTGTAGCTCAGTGATAGAGCGCTTACCTAGCATGCATGAGACACTGGGTTCAATCCTCAGTACCACGTAAAAATAAATAAATAAAATAAAGATATCATGTACCTCTACAACTAAAAAAATATTTTTAAAAATATTTTTTGACTTGGAAAGTTGATCATAGCATGTTAAATATAAAAGATAGTACAGGGCTGAGGATATGACTTATGTGTAGAGTGGTTGCCTCCCAGGTGTGAGGCCCTGGGTTTGATCTCCAGTACTGAGAAAGAAAAAGAAAGATAGTTGTAAAGTGATGTTTACAATATGAAGACTCGAAAAATGCATTTAGTATAGAAGTCCAAAATATATTTTCTCTGAAGGTGCTTTTATTTTTTTTGGTATTTCAAATAAACTATAAAAGAAAAACCAATTTTTTAAATATTTAAAAAATATTTGGGACCATCTCTGTCATATGATATACTGTCTGTTTTCCTCTTATTGCAGGGCAATTTGTATGAATTTTTGAAGCTCACTGGGTGGAGAGGCTCCAGAGTGCTGTATTTCGGGGACCACATATACAGTGACCTGGCGGTGAGCAGCACCTTTTCTCCTCAATTTGTTGGGGGACAGGTGTATTAGTCCCATTTCTTTTTTGTTTAGAAGGTCATTTTAATCCTTTCCTAAGAACCTGGAGTAGGCCACATTTTTTAAATGTCTGCCTTTTATAGAACAGGATGGTTCCGAATTGTGCAAAGGATAAATTCTTATGAGGGCAATTGAAAATGTATGCAAAGAGTTGATCAGAAAAAATTTCCATTTAAATAATGATAAGAAATAAATGCCCTTGTTAACTTTTCTTTTTTATCAGTACATCATGAAACATTAAAGATGGAGCATAAAAGCTCGAAAGCCTCAGTCCAGCTCTGGCCAGCCGGTCACTCCCAGGAAACAGCCACCCTGTGCCACTGAGGCTTTTCTTGACCCTGGGTGTGATGGGAGTTAGGGTTTAGCCTACACTGAGAACAAGTCTGGGTTGTTGTATTGGCTACCATCCTTGGTTCCTTGTGGAACGAGGTTTCTTTGTTGAGTGATGGCAGGTCTCTCCTTGCATGATTCCCAGAGCTCAAAGGCAAGTAGGTAACGTGAGGGTCGTGGCTCCTGCCACCTCCACTGTTGCTATGTCTGGATGTTTTGGCCTTCAGGTTGAACCTCTCCCTGGCCACATGGGTTCCCCACACCCTCTCCCGCCAGACCCTGGTTAATGATTCCACTCCCTGTGTTTCTGCAGGCGCTGTGATTCACAGCAATTATTTCCAGAACAGAAACTTTCTTAGGGTGGAATCGTCAAAGCTTGGGGCCAGATTGGTTTAATTAAGTGTAATTCATTGAATGCAACTTGGTTAAAAACTAACCATTGGAATTAAAAAGTAATTTAAATGAATGCTTCTTGTGTCTGGCAAAGGTAATGAAATGTTTGGGTTCTGTTGAGACTGATGTTGCCTTTCTGTGATCGCTGTGATTAGGATTTGACCCTGAAGCATGGCTGGCGGACTGGTGCAATCATCCCCGAGTTAAGGTCGGAGCTCAAAATCATGAACACGGAGCAGTACATTCAGACCATGACCTGGCTGCAGACCTTGACTGGCTTGTTGGAGCAGATGCAGGTTGGGATGTCCCCCCTCACACACACACCTCACTTTTTCCTTTAAGCTTCTGGCTTGTCTCCTGGTCCGAGTTATTTCACATATTTTCAGTTTAATTGTGGTTATAAAGTATGAGGTTTAAGCTGTCCTCAGTAGGCCGTAGAATAATATCTGGGGTTATTTTGCTGCTGAGGCAATTTGTCATTTTCCCTAAAGAGACTATTAAAAAAAAATGTGCAGTCATTTGGAGAGTGTTTGCAGAGCCTGCACAAATGCAGGTATTTATGATCCTCTGTCAGTGGAAATGGGGCCCTTACTTTCACCCTGAGTCACACCAGGGCTGTCCTGTGGGGTGCTGATTTGAGCAGCTCTGCTAGTGCTGCGTTTCAGTCTTTCCTCATCCGTCAGCCTGCTGTGGGACTTCTCTATCCTGGGCCTCGGTTTCCCTGTCTGTAAGGTCCTGTGGAATGTGCACTTCAGTCTAAGCTTGCTGGAAAGTGTCACAAAGCCAGAGTCAAGATCTCTGGGTCCAGCCTCAATCTGATTTTGAAGAAAATACCCGTGGTTTCTGGCCTTCTGGAGTTTGGTGGCAGTTAACTTCTTTCTGTAAATTATGTGGTCCAGTTTGGGACAGTTAGAAAGGAATGTCCTTTTTATTGGTCACATCCTGGCCTGTGGGAGCTGCTCCTCTGTTGCAACTGTGACCCCCAGTCCCCCTCCTGCACTCACCAGGCACCTCACTTTCTCCCTGGTCCGGCTGGCCTGGGCTGCTGTCCTCCTGGCAGGGTGGAGGTAGCCAGGACTCTGTGCATGTGTCACAGAGTACTGATGGTTAATCTGCATGCCAGCCACTGTGCTGAGAGCTTGCCCTGTGCACCGAGCTGACTCTTGGAGATTACGGGCACAGATGCCTGATGTCTTGGCTGACACTTCAGCTCTGGCACAGCCTGTTTAGCCCATCAGTGGCTTTGGAAATGGGCGAAGAACTGCCTCGCTGCCCTAATTGGCAGCCCGTGTTGAGGTGGCTGGGCGCTGAGCTCAGGCAGAGCCGTGGGGAGAGGCAGGCCAGGTCCTCTCGCAGGCCACTTGTTCCTAAGCGTGAGCCCCTGCACGTCCGCCAGGCTGGTTTCCAGTGTTCCCTGTCTGTCCTGGTCCTTGGCTCTTCTCTGGTGAGGCTTTATTTTGCTACTTCTACCGTGCTTGCCTGTGAGATGATTTTCTAAACACATAAGGAGTCGATTCTGGGCTAATGTAGCCGAGAGTTTGCATGTCACACAACAGCAGCTGTTCTTTCCTGTGTGCCAGCCACACCTTGAGTGCTTGCTGTATACACGATGCTCACTTAATAAAGTTGTCCCGTGCAGGTAGGTGCAGATTTTCCATTTCAGAATAGGAAACCTGGGTTTCAAGAGGTTAGTGACATGTCCAAGGTCCTAAATGACAGAGCAAGCCTTGAACCCGGACCTTGGGATGCCCATATCCGGGCCCTTGAGCACCATCCTAGTGCCTGCTGGTTCAGGGGTCTCAGGTGGAGCCAGAGGCTTTACCTTGTCTTATTTGCAGTTTATCTTTCTGTGGGTCTTAGTTTAACTGTAGTCAACTTGGTTCTGAAAATATTAAATGGAAAATTCCAGAAATAATTCACAAATTTTAAAATAACTTTTATTACCTTGTTGTTATTGTTCTGTTATTAATTACTATTATTAATCTCTTACTTTGCCTAATTTTATAAGATAGACTTTGTCATAGGTGTGTACACAGAGGAAAAACAGCAGACTCTGGACTTGGTGTTACCCCAGTTCAGGCATCCCCTGAGGGCTGAGTGCAGGGGTGTTTGTGTGTGTGTGACCTCGCCTTAGTTGGAGTCCAGTGACAGCAGCTGCTCATCAGATATGCAAACAACCTGTGTGTGGATGACTTCACTGCTTTGGGAACAGTCTTTGTTTTGTTTTCCTCTCTGACCTGTAAAAACAAGTTTGACAGTTAAGAGTGTAACTCAGGGGCTGGGGATGTGGCTCAAGCGGTAGCGCGCTCGCCTGGCATGTGCGAGGCACTGGGTTTGATCCTCAGCACCACATAAAAAAATAAAAAAGATGTTGTGTCCACCGAAAACTAAAAATAAATATTAAAAAAATTCTCTCTCTCTCTCTCTCTCTCAAAAAAAAAAAAAGAGTGTGACTCAGAGAAAGGAGGTGTTGGAGATATTTCTGGGACTTGGAGGATCAGTTATACAAGGCATAGGTCGGGGAGTAGGAAAAGGGAATGAGCCTTTACGGTGCACTCTGTTTCACAGGAGAGAAGGCCGAGGCCGAGAGATGAGTGACTTCCGGCATCACAGAGTCAGTGGTGGGCACCGGGCCCTGCTGAATGTAGCAGGTCTTCTCTGCGCTGGGCACTTGGGCCTTGTGTTCATTTCACCCTCGTGACTTCCAGAGTACCGAGAGCGTCACTTGCGTTTTATAGATGAAGAATCTGAGCACAGAGGAAAAACACCTTGCTCAGGCCTGGGGTGGCACTGGCCTGGGCTTGGGTGCCCTGGTCTCTGCCTCCGCACTGCGCCACCTCAGGCTCTGACGCTTTATATGATGTTGGGTCAGCGGCACCAGGTTAGAGGAGTATGGCTGATAATTTTAAATATTCCAGAGAGTGTCCATCCTAACTGTCCTCCCTGTCCCCCCACTGCCCCCGCTCCCTCAGGGTTCACCTGGAAAGGTAGTCATTTTTCCACTGATCCTGTGGCACATTTCTAGAACTCTCAATTATTTATGAAGAGAAAAAATTTTCCTTCGAGACTGGGTTTGATTTGGGGCAGGGGTAACAGTATCATTTGGAGCCGAGTCTGATAAATTAAATAGAAGCATATGATTTTTTGCTTTCTAAACAGTGACTTTAAAGAATCATGTTGCTAGCTAGCCTTGAAGTGCGCTCCACAGTGGCCACAGTTAGTGGTGGTGGGGCTGGTCACTGGGGGGGCTGGCCAGTGGCGGGGCTGGCTGGGGTTAGCAAACTTCTGCGGAGGGCCTGATGGTAGATGTTTAGGGCTGTGTGGGCTTGGATTCTGTCACGGCTGCTCAGCTTTCCTAACAGAAGCAGCCATGGGCCGTGTGTGAGTGAGCGGTTGTGGCTTGTCCTGCTGAACTCCGGTGGACACTGAAATATGAGTTCATTTACTTTCATGTGTCATGAAATTATTCTCCTTTTGCCCCCCCCCCCCCCATCTGTCCCCCTCCAAGCCTATTTGTAGGCTCCTGAGTGAGCAGACCTCAGAGCCAGTGTCCCTGCTGTGGTGTTGCCGCCCTGGCCTCAGCTTTCCGGATCCTTCCTCCATTGCGTTTCCCTTCGGCAGCCTTGGGGCAGAAGTTGGAGAGGCTCCATCCTCATCCTTGGCCACCCTCCAGAGTCAGGACCATAGAGACCCAGGGGTGGGAGTCTGAGTGGGGTGCACCACCCGCTCCATGGCTGGGGAGCCGGGTTAGAGAGCGTGCCTTGAGCTTGGGAGATCTGCGTTGGCTCTTCTGTTGGCAGAGCCGCCTCAGGCGGGTTCCCCCGAGGGTCAGGAGTGGAGAGAACTCCCTCGGCCTCTAGCAGCTAGCTTGAGAAGGGAGAGCAAGTAGATTGACTTAGGTCGTCCTCCTCCCTGTCACCAGGCAGTGAATGTGCCCTCCTGCAGGGGCGCCACTCTCTTAGTCCATGGTGACTGTACCGTAGACTGGTGGCTTAAAGCAGAAGCATTTATGTCCCACCGTCCTGGAGACTGGGATCTGAGGTCCAGGAGCCAGCAGAGCTCTTGTCTGGGTGGGCCCAGCGTTGCATGGTGCCGTGCATGGCTGGAAGGTGGCCCGAGAGCTCTCTTGGGGTCGTTTTTATAAGGGTACTCTTCGCATTCGAGGCTCAACCCTCATCATTTTGTCACCTCCCCATACCGTCACGCTGGAGGCTGGGATTTCTGCTTAGGAGTCTCAGAGGGCCATCAGCACCCCGGGCCATGATGCGCCGAGGGCGGGCCTGGGAGCTCCTTCCCGCTTGTGTGAGCAGTGGGCGCCCAGTTCACGGGGCAGGAGGTGGGTGTGGGCAGAGGAGAGGTGGGGAGTCCCCGTTCTCTGTGGCCTCACGTTGTGTTGGCCTGGTCTGCCCCACGGGGGCCTCCATTCCCGTCCTCTTGTGTCTTCGGCCTCCGGCGGAGTCCCGCCGGGCAGAGGTGCAGAAGGAACTCGCGTTCATACAGTGAAGGTCCCTGTGGCGCCTGCAGATTTTACTTCTTCGGATTTGGTCTGAATCCTGTATGTCCTGGAGCTCGGTTCTGGAGTAAGTAGCTTGTTGATATCAAATGTGAAAGCTAATTCAAAATGTCCTCACAGAACCTGCTTCAAAACTCCCAGCAAGGAGAGGCCAGCGGCCTGTGCTCCTGGCACCCAGCCGGTGGGTTTCCTTTCTTTTATTTTTTTTAGATATCGGTGGACCTTTATTTTATTCATTTAGTTATATGTGGTGCTCAGGATCGAACCCAGTGCCTCACGCCTGCAGGCAAGTGCTCTACCGCTGAGCCCCAGCCCCAGCCCCACAGCCAGTGGGTTTCCAAATGGAAGCTGCTTCCAGTCGGGTAGCCCCTGACATTAGCAAGAAGCCCAGATTCCAAGCCCAGTCGAGACAGCTTTGTGTGAGTGCGGACTCTGCCTGGCGGCTGCGGGTGTCACCCTGGTGGGCCAGGCAGATGTGACAAGCACAGGCTCCCACCTGAGAAGCAGATGGTCTGCCCATTTGGCCTTTCCCTCTGAGCTCTGAGGTTACCCTGCGGTCAGGGATCCCAGTGAGCTCCACCTGTCCCCTGCGATCATATGTGCCTCCGACTTGGTCCTCCCTGTTCCCTTCAGTCACAAGAACGTTGGAGGGAGACTCGTGAGATTCCACTGGGAGGTTGTGGGCAGCTGTCATTTTCTTTTTGTCTTTGACTCACATTTTGGCCTACCAGAAAGTCTCCTGCTCTTCCGTCACTCACGTTGAGATGTGTCATCTTGTTGCCCTTTGCCTCTTCAGATGTTAAACATCTAATAAGGCGATGTAACATTAAAGAAAAAAAACAGAACCATTTATGGTCCTCCTACCCTTGCACAAATTTTTTAAAAATTCTATGTTAATTTCTAGCACATATTTTCACATGCTTGCAATTAGTGGATGTACCGTTATGCACACTGTTTCAACTTAACTGCTGTGATATTGATATACATGCATGTAATGTATGAAGTAGCTAGTACATGGGAAGTCTATGTTAATATACATAATAAATAGATGTAATGGGTGTATCGCACATGTGGGTTTACACATATATTTTTACATGGACATACATGCATTATTTTTATACAAGCCTTTAATTACAGTGGAATATCTTCATAATATTCCCCTCTTAATTTGCTAAATCAGGTTTCTAATGATGGATATTTAAAGCTCTCTGTGCTCTCTGTGTGTGTGTGTGTGCGCGCGCGCACGCTACTGTGTTAATTTTGTAAGTGAAGAAGGCAGGGTTTCAGTTGGAGAATCTGAAAATGTATTACTTCACCGAAGTACCTGCCTCTCTCTTTTTTTTTTAATTTAAAAAAATATTTATTTTTTAGTTTTAGGTGGACACCATATCTTTATTTTTATGTGGTGCTGAGGATCAAACCCAGTGTTTCACGCATGCTAGGCAAGTGCTCTAGCTCTTGAGCCACAACCCCAGCCCAAGTACCTGCCTCTTAAAGAAATATAATTCTTCCAAGAGCTGCCCATCAAAAAATTCTGATGAGTTTGTTTGAAACCCAAACTATCATAGTAACTGGCTTGTGTCCTGCAGGTTCACAGAGATGCTGAGTCGCAGCTGGTCTTGGAGGAGTGGAAAAAGGAGAGGAAGGAGATGAGGTGAGAGTGGCTTATTTTGAAGATGGTGACCTGTTCTGCGTGTGCTCAGCCCACATGTTCTCCCAAGGCCATCCGAGGCATGATCGTGAACCATCCGTGGTGTGCTCCCAGGTGTAGATGTGGCTTCCCAGGTCTCCAGGATCAGCTGTCTGCTGTTGGTGACAGTGGCATTTCTTATAGGCCAGCGGCGACCTCCATTTTTCCCCTGCCCTTGCAGGGCCATGGGAGAAGGGGACTCTTCCTTCTCCTTCCTCCTCCCCGCCTCCTTGACTGTTCCATCTGGGTGCTGGTGGCCCTGTGTTGCCAAAGCCGGTAGCATGTGTGGCTGTTGGGGCTGTGATGGGGGAGGGCTCTGAGCCCCGGTGAGATCTTAGGACTCCTACACCTGGGTGTGCGTTCGTACCTATGGCTCTTGCAGGAATATGCACATAGTCAGTCATCAGAATGTTTCTAGAAGCCCCTCTGCTGTCAGAAAAGTTTGGCAGGTGTGTGTCCTAGTGGACAGTTTGCAGAGGGGCCTGTTGACAGTCGTGCTCCTTGCGAAGGGTGCTTTGTATGTGGATGCTTTTGGCAGGAACGCTGAAGAGCCTGGCCCTCCTCAGGCCCTGGGTCCAGTCTAAGGTCTGGGAAAGTGGCTGCTGCTGGATTCTAGCCTCTGAGCAGCGGGCAGCCTGGCTCCAGGGGGGGTCCGTGAGCGCAGTGGAAAAGGTGTGGAGAGGAGACAGTGTCCATGCCTCAGGCTCTGTGGGAGCCAGTGTGGTAGTGCACGCTGTCCCTCCTCCTCCCGTAGGCTGTTGGCTGGCTAGGGCTTGCTCTGACACGATTTCCTTTATCATAAAGTGTCCTGAGAGGAAGATGTGGGGCAGAGTGACTTGAGCAGAGTGACTTGAGCAGGCTTGGAGCAGAGTGACTTGAAGGCCAGGCCTGGGTCACATTCCGTGGGGCATTCACTTCTAGGAACCTCAGATTACTAGACAAAGGGACCATTGACTTTGAGTATTTAATATCTTCACATTTCAACGAGATTCTTCAGTAAACGTTGGAAAACCATCTAGGTTGTTCCTCCCACAGAGACCCAGGTGGGTTCTTTTAATGTTCTGCTGTTTGGTGGTTATTGCATCTGTCGTCGCCAAGTGATAGCAGGCAGGTGACACCACTGCTGGCTTTAGTCACACAGTTGTGTAAACAGTTATACTGTTTGCTGTATTTAACTAATTTATCAACATTCCATTTTTCTGGAATATTCTGTAAGGTTCCCAGCCACAAGATGGTATGCATGTCCTTGTGTGTGGGATGTTGATTTAGACACAGATGCACGGAGGGGCAGACGGTCCATTGTAGGAATTTGGGGCCTTGTGTGGAGCTGTGACCTTGACCGTGCAAACCGCTGTGGGCTAGGCTGGGCTGGGAGGAGGCCCTGAGGTTAAAGCTGTGTCTCAGGGTCAACAGTGGGGTTCTTAGGCTGCAGTAATTGGGAAGTGTGATCAGTCATCTCAGAGGTGTCGGATGGATGGATGGTTTTCTTGAATGGAAGTCAGGATTGTTCTAACTTCAAGTCCTGTCATTTTTTTTTTTATTAAGAGATTTTGATTTTAGTAATTGAAAAACCTTTAAAAACCTTTCTCTGCTGCTCTGTTTCCGTTTTTATTTATTTGTTTATTTTTGCTTTAGGGAGATGACCAAGAGCTTCTTCAACGCCCAGTTCGGAAGCCTGTTCCGCACAGACCAGAACCCCACCTACTTCCTGAGGCGCCTGTCGCGGTTCGCGGACATCTACATGGCGTCTCTGAGCTGCCTCTTGAACTACGACGTCAGCCACACCTTCTACCCCAGGAGGACTCCCCTGCAGCACGAGCTGCCCGCGTGGTCCGACAGGGCCACCACCTCCAGGGCGCCCCTCCTGCAGGAGGCACAGGCCAAGTAACCCTGGCCCCCTGGGGAAAGGGCCAGAAGCAGCCCGTGTCCACTGGATGGGGTGGACTCTGGGTGGGCCCAGTGGCTTTCTGAAGAGACACGGTAGGCTTTTGATGTGTTTTGCACCTTAAGGACAGGACTCCCCAGACTGAGAGGAGCCTGCTGCCCACTGGTGCGCCTCCCTCCTCTCGGGGCCTGGGCGCAGCTTGGTACTGGAAGTCCCACTCCGCCTTGTTCTCCAGGACCTGGAACTGACCTGGGTTAGGTGAGACCGCTTGTGCCAGCAGGTCCTTTAGACGCTGCTCTGGCTCTTGCACCGTTCACCTTGGGGGCTGCAGGCCTGAGGATGCATGGAGATGCCCCGTCGGCAGCAGGCAGACACTTCAGTAGCTGCTCCTGGCAGTGCCGCTGTGAGTGGCAGAAGGTCCCTGAATGGCAGGATGCCCCGGTCTCTGGTCCTGAGGCTCTGGCGGTCCTTCCTGTGGTGTACGACGTCCAAGAGAACCCAGCCTCCTGGAAGGACTTAGATGAGAAGGAACAAGAACACTGTCCTCATTGTGTGCTGCTGTGACCCAGCCCAGGCCGGGCCAGGACATCTGGTACAACAGGAGATGGGAATGAGGGCGAGGGCGCTGCTCTGGCTACGGTCACCTTCCAGTTGGCCGCACCTCTGCCTACTGTCCAACGAGGCTGTGAGACATCCGTGGGGCAGAAGAACCCCAGCCTTTGTGGGAGGTTCCCCAGACCCACAGGAAGCCCAGAAACGGCGCCCGAGCACTGGTCTCTTGCACTTACCGAAGGAACGAAATGGAAACAAGACAAGACCCTTGTACTGAAGTCCTACACCACAGCGCCCCCAGGCTAAACCGGAATCTTGTTAGAGCGTGTTTCCAGAAACTGTCCTGCTCTGTGGGGGGACAGACAAGGTGGCTTCCTCTCTCGACAGCAACCACATGGGAGAGGTGCCGCTTTGGCAGAGGAGGAGGAAGGGGCATCCCCCAGCCACCTCCAGCCCTTGCTTAGTTCTGGTTCCTGCCCCATTTGAGTGGCTCCGGGAGTTCAGGTGGTTTCCTTTTGGTGGTTCAGGTGGGACAAGATGAGACTCATCGAAGTTAGTAGGAAGACCTGGGTCCTGAGCTGTTCTCATTTCTAAGACTGAAGCAGATGGCCATGTTCTTCTCCTTACTTCCTCCCTCTGGAGGGAAGAACGCTTTATTAATCTGTATTCGTAGCATCTTTCTCTGAGCACCTCAGGGCTGTGCTGTTTTCATTGCTGATGCGGCCTGTGTGCTTCCGGCCGGTGGTCTTGTCTAGTCTTGCTGGGACTCATCTTGGGCTCTTGCTCTTTAAATCTGGAGAATGGGCAGGAACCTGGGGGGCCTGTGGAGAGCACTTGCTCATTTAGCACGTGTTGAACACCTGCCTGGCATTGCACGGGCTTCCGCCAACATGCAGGAGTCCAGTGAGTTACGTGGCGCCCTCTGGCTCTGCTCATTGTGATGCGGTTTGACTTTGGTATTTGGTTGTTTAACTGTCCTGGTGGAGGTGACGCTTTAGACCCAGGTAGGCTTCTAGTCCTTCTGTGCTGTAGGATGAACACCATAGGGCACAGTAGTCTGACCCTGTCTTGGGACAGTGGGCGTGTTGTTGTTGGTGTCACCCAGCTGTTTCACCACCAGTGTTTTGGAGTCTGGCTTTTAAGGCAGCAAGTGATGCTCAGAACTGCTCAGTTGGGGGTCCCAAAAGGATGGGCTGGTGCTTTCTCTTGGCTTTTGCTTTCTGCTTTGGAGAAGCAGAAGAGGACACAGGGGTGGCTGAGAAGCATCCGTGGCATACGGATGAGGTGCCAGGTAACAGGGTGTTTTGTTTACTCAAGAGTGAAGTAGACCTTTTTTAAAAAATCTGCTCTCTTGAATATCTGGGCTAGGTGACCCTTGGGGCAGGGGACATTTTCTGGGAATGAATAATGAATTTTACAGATTATTCCCAGGGAGGTGGGTTTTCATTTCAGGGCCATGAGCCTGGCAGCCCAGAGATCTGCCAGGTAGCAGAGGCCTGGCATCCCTTGTACCAGGGCCACCAAACGAGGGCCTGGCAGACTCAGCAGCACAGCTCTGGGGAGCGCCTCCAGAGCAGGGCCCGGGCATTTCCCTGCTTGTTCCTCCTCCAGCTCAGTCAGGGCAGGCTTCAGCCTGTCACCGTCACGACTCAGCTGGGACCTGGCCCGCTGCACCGTGCGGCTTGTTCTTCCCTGTTTGTTCTGTGGGGTGTGCGCTGATGGAAGTGTGCGGGCATCAGAAGTGACTGTTCTCCGCCACTTAAGAGAATCAATTTGTAAAGCAAACCTTAAAATTAGTTTGAGCATTTAAACTGTTGTTAACCTTGCTTAGATTGATTTTCTAAGAATTATGAGAACAAAAATTCACAGTCCAGGGGCGTCCACACCAGCTGTGACAGTCCGGCAAGGCTCGTGGCACCCATAGCAGGTGCTTGGGGAAGGCACAACACTGAGGGTTTTCTCCAGAGTCGCTTTTATAGAGGAAACCTGGCTTTAAAAATATTTTAGGTATTTGGCTTACAGCTCCCACTTTCTCCTAACACCCCTCCCTGTCCCTCTCCCCCCACGCCTTCCTTCTCTCTTCCCCCTTCCTCCTGTCATAGTTGACTCTTGAGCCCCTTTTCTGCTCTCACCATTAATTCCACGTATCGTGTGCCACCTGCTGTGGATTCTGGCCTCTCCGGCGGCGGAATCACTGGTTGCTTTGAGCAGTACATCAGCCCTCTTGATTATTGCAAAGGAGAAGTGAGAATCAATCTTGCCTCCTACTAATTTGGCTTTTCCTCTGTCCTCCTCTCAATAGGATTTTTAAGTGGCATTGAATTCTATTTAGCCCAATGCTCATTGGCTGCCAGAGGCCCAGACGGGACCCCATATCTAGAATACTCTTAAGACTAAATTTGGACAGATGCAGGGTTGTCTGATTATTCATCTGCCTGTTTTCCCTCTTAATAATATTGATTTCCTTTTGTACCACACTTTTTGTCCTTTAGTATTTGGGAGCTGGATTCAAAGTTGAACTAACCTTTGACACCACTGTTGGTTTAAGGGAAGGGAAGGGGGGGAGGGGAGGGGAGGGGAGGGGAATGAAGTTCCTCTAATAAGGGTCAGAGAACTTTTCCCTTAAAGGGCCAGACAGGTACAGCTTTGCTCCTGTAGACATGGGCATGGCATGGGCATTTCGTGGGCATGGCATGGGCATGGGGGCTCTACCAAAAGAGGCTGTGGGCTGGATTTGGCCCTGGGCTGTGGTTTGCCATCCCCCACTAATGGATTGTGTTGGTTTCAAGGGTGACACTCCCCTCTTGAGAGGTGCAGATGAATAACCTAATTTTGGATGCAGGTCTGGAAAGACGTTCTCTGGGTAGGTAGGGGTGCCAAGTTCCCTTCTGAGCTGCTTTCTGGGCCTGTTTCCTGGCTGGTCGGTGGTCAGACGCGATGTTTCTAGCACATATCAAGATTGCTGTGTGGCAGGTACCTGAGATACCTCTCATTTGTTATTGTGCTTCTTGGGTGCTGGGCTGTGCTGCCCAGGTGACCTTTCTGACTGAAGGACTTAGTTCTCCAATGACAGGGTGAGCTGTTGGCTGCCTGTTCACAGCTGTCAGACCTCTAGGAATTTCCCTTGCCTCACCCCAGATCACGGCCCCTTCCTGGGGGCCTCTGGACTGCTGCACTTGGAGGCACGGAGGCCTGGCCTCCCCAACCCGGGACAACCCCGTAGATCCCCCCAGCTCCACCCCTCTCAGTGGGGTCAGCCAAGCCTGCATGGAGGTCAACGGCAACCCCTCCACCCCTTCCCACAGATCCTGCATGCAGCGCCCACCTCCAGGGCACCCACCTGGGACAGTGCTCCTGTACTTAGTAGTACAAAGCTTCAACTCCAACTTAGGAGCCTTTTCTAATTGTTTAATGGAATGACAAACTGTGCCTATACAGTAACAGGCATAAGAAATGCAAATTAGGTAACTATTTATTCTCAATGTGAATTTGCTATTTATTCTGAATGTCGATTTTACGTGTTAGTGACTTTGAACTCAACGTCAAATAAAAGTTTGAATTGTATCGCCTGGTGTGTTGCTCAGTCATCGCTCCTCTGTACTGATGCTGACAAAGCCTTATGAGATTCTCGTGGATCCACAGCATTGTTTTCTCTTCTTGTGGCGGGGAGGGTGCCAGGGACTCAACTCAGGGACACTGGACCACTGAGCCACAACCCCAGCCCTATTTTGTATTTTATTTGGAGACAGGATCTCATTGAGTTGCTTAGTGTCTCACTTTCACTGAGGCTGGCTTTGAACTCTGGATCCTCCTGTCTCAGCCTTCCGAGCCGCGGGGATTACAGGCGTGTGCCACTGTACCCAGCTCACAGCGTTGTTTTCTAAACATGCCTTTTGTATGAGATTTGAGATAATCTCTAGTAAAAGAAATAGAAGAATTTTTTAAAAATTAATTAATTTATTTTGATCAGTTATATATGATAGCAGAATGCTCTTTGATTCAAATAGAAGAATTTTTGTAGTTAAAAAAAATATTCTTGGGCTGGGAATGTGGCTCAGTGGTAGAATGGTAGAGTGCTTCCCTGTGAGGACCTGGGCTCCAGCCTCGGCACTGCGTGTGCATACACACCACACCCCCCATGGATCCCTACAGGGCTGTCCCTGAGAGAAGGATCAAACGTACCTTATACCTCTGGAGCTTGAAGGCTGTTCATACAGACAGACAGGATGCGAGCGCAGCCTGGGGTGGGGCAGGAGGCTCCACTTATGGCCCCATGGAACTGCTTCCTCCAGAAGGAGCAGGAGCTGGGGGTCCACGTGCCTGTTTGTAGTCAAACACTAGGAACAGTGGAAGAGGTTTTCAGGAAAAGAAATAGGGATCAGGAGCTCGCATTAGGAAGTCAGTTCACTTATGCATTTTGGGTAAATTTGAAGATACGGTTTATGCTTTTTAAATGTGTATGTATGTGTGGGTTTAACATCTTACAATTCTTGATCAGCTGTCCCTCTGCTTGACATGGGGCTTCTTTTCTTTTCCTGGAATTGGGAGAGGACTCT